ATCAGTCAGAGAATCGCTTTTAACTTTTAGATGAAATAAGGTGGTGGAAACAGACCATGCTAGTAATAAGTCTGCCCTTAGGTCTATTGGGTTGTTGAATATTATATAATTTCTGTGACTCAAGTTGACATTAAAGTCATAGCAACCTTCAGTTGCTTGGCCTTGTTTGTCTGCCCTCTGCCATATAAAGTATTAAGGTGTATCATGTTAATATATCTCTGAGAATAATTAACATATTGTAATAAAATTCATATGAGTCCAAAGTACTTTTATGAGACATCTTGACAGTCTGCCTGTAACTGATCTAAAATGACTGCCTTTTACTTGGTCCTACTTTGTACATGAGCCAGGATAATCTAGACCTGGCTCTAAAATTAAATTAGCTATTCATTTATGAGCAGGGTTACTTAAGTAATCTGCTATAACTGGACCTGATTGGAGAGGTGATTTCATCTCAGAAATTTGGAAAATTATGCAGGAGGTGACAAACTGGAACCTGTAACTTTTGGTTCTGTTCACACTATTTTACTGCCTTTCCAAGGATCAAATGAGATAACTGTCAGTATGCCTTGATAGACATAAAATATAAGGTAGATCATTTCCACTTACTTTGTACTGTCAGGAGGCATATATGTTTCTTTTCATTGTCATTTCAACTTTCTAACATACTTAGACATAGTTTTCTGAGCATGGGCATGGTAAATTGACACCCTTTGAAATGGAAATTCTTTCCATTTGGGGATACAGAATTGATTTCTTAATAAAAAATGTATGCTTTATTTTCAAATTGAGGATTTATTATGATAGTTTTGGACTGGTTTCTTAGGAGGCATTTTAACTCATTAGTACTTAGATGAAGCCAGTTTCCTATAGCTCATATTTATAATCTTAGTTACTGAGGAATCTCAGATCTAGAATTAAGGTTTAAAACCAACCAGGCAGACAAGTCCAAAAGACTCTTACCTTCATTAAACACCAGAAACTGCATCTGGAGATGTGGCTAAAGTGGTGGAACACCAGCCTTGAGCAGAAAAAAACCGTAGTAAGGGCTTGAGGCCTTGAATTCAAACCTCAGTACTGGAAGATACAAACAAAAATACTTAGATGAAAAATACTTAGGATATTCATATATGATTTTTCTTAAAATCTTAATTTTAAATTCAGGTTGACAAATTTCAGGGTTTATATAAGAAATTAGGATTTGTGACCTTTATAAAGCTTTTAAATGGCCCTGTGCCTTAGTTTTAGTATAGTTAAAGTAGGTATAATGAAGGTGACTAAGGTAAATTGACCACTGGACCATGGATTCATTTGTAGTTCATAACAACCACATTATCTAGGAGAGGAAATAAAGACATATGTGACTACATTACTAAAAAAACAAAAAATGGAGAAATTTGAACTTGAGTAGTATAACTCCATCACTTTTGAGCATTTATGTTCTACTATCTTCTCCACTACCTTGTAAGTTCTTCATAGCAGTAAATGAGGTGGTATATAGAATGCTTGGTACAATTTTGATTTTCATATATTGAAATTATGAATAACCATTCATGGATATAGAGATTAATTTAGGAAGGCTTATAAATAAACAACTATCCTTGGTTGAGATAATTTTGGCAGCTTGTAAGACATGAATCACAGGCTCTGCTCCAGATATACTGAATGAAAATGTACATTTTAAGACTATTCACTGCCAGACACTGGTGGTTCATACATATAATCCTAGCTACACAAGAAGCTGAGATCTGAGGATTGCAGTTGAAAGCTAGCTTGAAATTCTAGGAAGAAAATGGACATTGGAGTCTTACCTATAAGTAACCAGTAAAAAGCTAAAAGTGGAATTGTGGCTCAAATGGTAGAATGGTAGCCTTGAGTGAAAAAGCTTAAGAGAGAAAACTTGGGTCCTGGTTTCAAGCTCAAATATGGGAACCAAAAAACAAAACATCAACAACGAAACAATCCCAAACTACACACTTACCTTTAGTTTGTAAGTAGTACAGAATTGGATCTTGAGGGTTTCTTAGATTACATAAACAGCATAAGTATTTCAGTGTTGATTTTTTTTATTTAGCAAAGAAAATGGTAATATATTAAAAACTAGCTATTATAACTTTTTTTGCTTTCATTGTAGGTCATATGTTTAGGTAATACACTGAATTTGTGAAAGATTTTTGACTGTGTGTAGGTCAAAATTAGCCTAATTTCATCAGCATTATTATTTTAGGAAGTAATTGGAACTCAAAAAACATTAAGTGATGTTAGATTGAGTGATTAATAGCATGAAACCATTTTTTGACACTTCACAATTCTGAAATTTCAGTGACGCAGATTAATAGCAAAGCAAATGAATGAAGTGTTTGCCTTGCTTGATAAGAAATGTGTAATTTTATTAGTCTTTGGAATTTAAAAGGTAAAGATTATATCTAAGTGGTAGAACATGGTCTAGTATATATGACACTTCAAGTATACAACTGTTGGAGCCTCATCATCAACAACAAACAAAAGCAACAAGATGGAAAACAAAAATTTCCTTTTATTAAGATTTTGAAAAAAATGTGATAGTAATTCCTGATTACTGCTAAGTCATTAGTACTGGTAAAGTGTAGATATTCATAGATTTTGTTTGAGTGAGCAGGAGGGTGTGTGTGTGTGTGTGTGTGTGTGTAAAGTGTAGATATTCATAGATTTTGTTTGAGTGAACAGGAGGGTGTGTGTGTGTGTGTGTGTGTGTGTGTGTGTGTGTGTGTGTCTGTCTGTCTGTCTGTCTGTGTATATGTGTATGAATGTGAATGTGTGTAGAATTTTGCTGATTTTTTCAAATGGTAGGAGACCTGTAAGGATCTAGAAAGATAACTTTTTTTTTTTGACAATTTGAGGGTCTCCCTTTGCTAATTTAATTACTTTGTCAATTTTTTCCATACCAACTATTTTTTATTGTTTTTTGAAAATTCTTTAATTATGAAAGATATAATTCAAATGTTTGAGCATATAAAATATTTTTTATAATTAAAACAATTACCTGTACATAAAAGCAATTTGAGAAACTACTGATGTTTTCCTCCCATTATATACTTCTTTATCCTTAGATATAAACATTTCCTTGGTTTTGGTTTTAAAACCTATGAATATATTCCTGAGCAATAAGTTGTCTAGTTTTAAAAAATAGATTAGCTAACATAAATTTGTGTACAGAAAACATAATAGTGCTAACATTAGACCAGATCTTATTGGAAAAGATAGGTTGAATAAATTATCTGGGTCATGTATGCTTTCAGTTCTATGAGGAGTTTACAGGTACTCTTTTCTTGAGATATTAGTGGATACTTTTGTGTGGGTCTTGAGAAAAAACCATCTTTTTTCCTGTAGTTGAGTCTTTGGTAATACTGTAGTATACATCCAGTATTGTATGTTCAGCAGAAGTGTTTTTGGAGGGACTGGGTTGCTCTGCTTTGTTCTAAATCACTATGTCCTACTTTCAGCGCTGAAAAGGAAGTCACAGGGGACCACTTCTGTAGGTAAAATAGTATTCCCAGCTGACTGAGATAGCAGAACATGAAAGCCCAGCATTCTGTGCTCTGGTTAAAAATTAATAGTGGTCATGATGAGGAGAAAAGATTAAAAAAATAGCTTTGAACAACAGTCATGTCATGCAGTAGGGGAAAAAGTAAAAGACAAAAAGACACCAGGGAAGGACATAGAACAAGGTATGAATAAAATAGAAAAATATTACTTTGTTACAGGAAGACTTGCTATTCTAAATAAATCCTATCCAAATAATTTGTCAGGATTTCTGTTAATGTATTCCTTTTGATTCAGAGCTGCTTAAAGTAGTCCAGTTTTTTTCTCCATGATACTTTCCCCCATCTCATACAATTAATATGTTTATATATTTGTGTTTCCAAGCTTTGAACTTAGGAGGGTATGCTTATGTTTCTCCCCTTGTTGAAGATGGAAGATGGAATTATGAAGGGTACTTTCTGTTCCTTGTTTCTTCCTTAGAACCTGGAATTGTGCTTTAGTACATAGGACACAGTCAATGACTGATGAATAATGAATGAATGAATAAAACTCTCCTTTCTTTCATAACCACAGCAGTTACTGTCTGTTTCATAGTCTTCTGGTCATTAATTTTTTTGGATTAGCATCTTATAATGCTTTCTATTATTTTCTTTTAGTTCAGTGTCAAATTGTTTCATTCCTATAAGACATTCTTCTCTGTGCTACTTAACGGTAGAAGTGGGACAAATACTTTCTTTGTGGAACTCACAGTGCAGGGCACATAGATGTAGATAGAAATTTGCTGAATTGAATACATTCACTTATTCATACTGACTGAAAATTCCTAAAATCAAGTTGGCCCTTAAGAAAAGGAGTATTTTTACTAGATAAAACAGGGCAGTTTTATATAAAATAATTTTGAAAAAAGGTTGGAGACTTTTTGGAAATACTTTGCTTTTGAACTTCTGGTAAAATTTGGAAATTGGAAGTGGAAACTTTTGCTATTAAAATTTTATTTCTGAACACCATTTGAACAAAAGAAAAATATTACAAAAATCTATACACTTTTTACCTTGAAATTCAATTTTTAGAAAATGTCTCTTTATGTTATAGTTTGTGAGTCTTAATTTTAAAATTAAAATTTCTAAATAGGTGTTACTACCTGTTTAATGTTTTGCATGATGTATTTACAAATATAAATATACAGATACTCTACAAAAACTTTGTTTTTCATGCTAGCTTTTCACTTAGTAATGTATGTAACTTTCTTTCTATACCTTTTTTTTGCCTTACCACTAGATTTTATTTTAACCTTTGATGATGTTCTGTAAATTTCTATGTATTTTTTTTATTTTCAAGAGTGCATTTACAGAAGCAAATATTTTAATACTACTGAAAAATTATAAATATTTAAAATGAAAAATTTTAAACTAATAATTTTCTTGGTTTGTTTCTAATTCATATAAGGAATTATTTATTTTTGTTTTGTTTTATTCTAGGCCAGTCTATCCATATGGGGATGGGGAAGCCTTGGCATTGTCCTTTTTCTGATAACCTTTGGACCCTTCGTAATATTTTATTTGGCATTTTATATCCTCTGCTTTGTGGGTGGGTAAGTACACTGAATAATAATTTTATAGTCATGTAGTTTACATTGTTTTAAATAAAATAACAGAGCTAAGGATATGATTTATTTCTGAATGATGTTTTTACAAGTTTGTATCAAATATAGATGGCCATCTTTAGAATTAAATTTCACTTTTAAGATTTAAACATTCATTTTGACGTTTTCCTTTTAGAGGTGAAAATTTTGTTCTTTATGATAATAATTAACATGAGATACTATACCAAATTTTGCATTGTAAAAGATGTTCTATTGATTAAATGTCAAATAATAATGTTAATTATTGCTGCTAATGAATGTTGTCTCCTTGGTCTAGACAGCTAAGTACATGATTTTGAGCTTCCTCTTCATTTATTTGTTTTACAATATTTATGTTTTTCCTTAAGTTAATAAACTTTTACAAAGGAGGTTTTGGCCATACCCTACAGCTTCTTATGAAAGGCATTTGACATTAGAGGAGAATTGTAAGAAAATACATAGACAAATGAAATGCTTGTTGTTTACACTCTAACAATTGTAGGTAGCTTAGCAGAAAGTGTTTTGTTTTCAATATATAATCTATTCTTAAATAATTAGTTGAATAATGTATACTTAGGAGATCTTTTTGAAAAAAATCTTTCAGACTCCCTAAACGTTGGGATGAATGACTTGAGCCTGTAGGTTTAAAGAATTTAGCTGAAATGAACATAGCATAAGTAAACAATTTTAAGCAACACTGTATGAGACACTGAAGGAAGGAGAGTGGCTTTTGAATACATTTGTCAACTTCTTTCAGGATATGGATTTGAAAGTCCTATGTTCATTCAGTAATGTAAATGAAGTTACAGTAATTCAGTAATATGAACATACTATTTAATGAGAAGTCATTCTAAAGAAAACAGTATTGGGCTGGGAAGTTGGCTCAGTGGTAGAGTGCTTGCCTCATATTCATGAGGCCCTGGGTTCGATTCCTCAGCACCACATAAGCAGAAAAAAGCCAGAAGTGGCATTGTGGCTTAAGTGGTAGAGTGCTAGCCTTGAGCTGAACAGCTGAGGGACAGGCCCAGCGTTCAGCCCACGACTGACCAACACCCCCCCCCAAAAAAAAAAAAAGGAAAAAAACCTATTTTTGTTAGATTCCAGTGTTTTCATAATACTTGTCTAAATCTGATACTTTGTTTTGAAATAAGTAAGCTTATTTCAGCCTTAGGAGTCAAATAAGATGGAGTTAAGAGTTATCTTTATTGATAATGATTGAAGACTGTACAGGTCTGCAACCAGGTGGGCTTCAAAGTACACTCTCCTCACTTACACATTAAGGGCACAGGTTACCTTTCCTACTCAGAGTCAAGGCTGATTTCACTGCAAAGGTGTTTTCTTTAGGAAATACTGCTATTAAAGGGGGAAGTTTATTCTTATTTCACTAATTGAACTGATCCCTGTTAAGAGTGAAAAATTTTAAATCCAATTGGGATTTAAAACTACCAAGACATTGTCAGGGAAATAGATTTCAGCATTTGAGATGAAGATAAGAGCCATTGGACAATTGAGGGAGAGGAATCATTTCTCTTAAACTCTATGTGATTTGAAACACAGAGGATGATCAGCCTGTTTGTTTTAATCTCATGTATAGTATATTTTATTAATATTTTTCTGAATTGATTAATTTGTCAGGGAATAACTTTTAGAGCTCTTGGATTATTGACAAAATTTGGTATAATTTTAGATTTAAATTGGTCATTGAAATTTGTGTTCTAAAATGTGTTCTAAAAACTGTTGAGATAATCTTTACAGTCATATTATACAATATAATATTTCAAGTTCATGCTAAGACATAAATTTAGATCTAGACTATGTTGATCTCAGTGAATGTTACTAACATGGTGAAGCTATTTCTGTTCCTACTAGAAGATCTCTGAAATTCATCTCAGGAAGATTAAGCATTTATAGACAATTCTATTATGGTCAACGATTATCATAATTTCTGTGTCAAACCTCTTGGTTCTAATGAAGAATGATTGTCCCTTCTTTAATGTAATTTAGTACAGCTTAATGCGCTATGAATTAAAAGAACAAAGATAAGCCTTTTAAAGTCAAGTGATGACATATTTCATAAATTTAGAATAATTTCTTAGGGTATATTTTCAGATTGATGTAGTGTCCCCTTCCCTTTTGAGGGGGATAATGAATTCAGGGCCTTGTGCTTTCTCAGTAAGGGCTCTACCACTTGAGCCACATCCTAGATCTTCATTGAGTAAGTTATTAAAGGTTTTGTTGTCTTTCTTAAAATGCCAGATGTGAAAGGAATTATTAATACAGTTTTCTGTAGACTCCTTTTTTTTATTTGGTGAAAAATGTTAAGTTCTACTGTTTATCCATATAAAATGTACACATTTTTCTTACAGGGAGAGCTAAGCTTTTATTTTTTAATATAATGGAAACTTTTGGATATTAAAATACCTGTCAATACCATATTATGGTTATTTTATGGCATTCTGTACCATTTTGAGGGTTATATATGCATTTGTAGCATATGATTTTTCTTAAACCTCAGAGCAGGAGCTATTAGATTCTTTATAACTTCAGATTACTTTTCTGTTTTCCTATTTTTTTTTGTCGTATCACAGGCAGTAGTTAATGTTTTTTTCAGTATGTTTTGTGAGGATATTTAGGAATATAAGACTGACAGTGTAAGTTCTAAATTGTGTTTGTAAGTATGCTTAATATTCAGTTTTATAAATTGTAAAGCTGAAATATAAGACCAACTTACTTGAATATAGAAGTATTAGATATGACATAGTTTAAATTCACTGGTAATCCTGAGTAATAGTTATAACGTTGTTTTTGCATTATAATGTATGACACAGATCATTTTTAAGTTTACCTATAATTCTGTTTTAAACCTTTTAAAAGAATTAGAGCTGGGGGTATGGCTCAAGTGGTAGAGCACCAGCTGTGAGCTAAAAGAGCTTAGTGAGACTCTGTGGTCCCATTTTAAAGCTCAGGTACCAGTACATACACACCAAAACAAAAATTGAAACAAACCAGAATTGTTGTAAACTTGTACTTGAAGATTAGTAGAGTGGCAGGTAGTAACAAAAAGCAGCCTGAAACTACTACTTAAGAGTTTGTCACTGGACTGGGAAGGTGGCTCAGAGGTAGAGAGCTTGCCTTGCATGCATGAGGCCCTTGGTTTGATTCTTCAGCACCACATAAGCAGAAAGAAAAAAGCCAGAAGTGGTGCTGTGGCTCAAGTGATAGAGCGCTAGCCTTGAGCTGAAGAGCTGAGGGACAGCACCCAGGCCCAGAGTTCAGGCCCTGTGACCAGACCACCACCCCCCCCCCAAAAAAAAAAGTTTTTCACTATTTATTTAGTTTTTCACTGTTTCCTAGTTCCTCCTATTTTAGAAACACTGTAAAATTACTGTGAAATCATAAAATTAAAAGTCCATATTCTTTTGTGTATTTCTAAGGCTTTGTTTAATTGACAAAAAGTAGAATGAGAAATAGCAATAAGGTTTATTCAGTATTTACTATATCTAAACCAGTGATTATTTTACCTAGTTCCTTTGTTTTAAAGATGATACTTTGAGATAAATTTATGTTTAGTTTCATAATTTTAGTCTTGTTTCAGAACCAATGACAGCTTGGATCAAGTTATATTAACATTAATGCTTCACCTTACTTAACAGAACTGTAGAATTAGGTCCTTTAGTTATATTTTCTTCATTATTATTTTTAAGTTGCAATAGTTTGTCTTAAGCTTAAGGATATAACAAGATCTATTTCTTGTTTGCCAAATTTCCAAACTGAATTTTTAATAAAAAAGTTGTAAGATCTGAAAAAGATATTTCATAGTAGATATTTTTGTATCTATAATTACTCTTTTTTTCCCCCCATCTAGGGGCTTAGTGGTTACTCTTCTGTTTGGGAAAACAAATTCAGAAAAATACCTAGAGCAGTGTGAACACTCATTTCTTCCTCCTACATCAACTGGGGTTCCTAAGGTAAATAGTGTAAGGGAATGGGAAACCTCAAAGTTAATTTCTCTACAATGATTATAAATGTGATCATCAGTTATAGCTTGGCATATTTTCCTGTTGATTAATGCTCACTAGAAATTTATGGGTGATTATCTGGTCATACTTAGAAAAAACATTTTAAGGGAGCTGAGAATAGAGGAATTGAAATATGGTAGAGGAAGTAAATATATTCAAATGTTACGTGCTGTAAATATCTATGGAAGTATCATAGTTAAACCCTATCACTACAAATAATTAAAAAATTAATCTGTAAACATTCTCAGTGTTATGTAAAAATGTGGTAATGCAAATTTGAGCAAAAGGTAGCTTAATTTAAATGTTTTCTTAATGTTTTAACATGGAATGTCAAAATGCTATATTATATTGCTATAATTAAATAATTTTACTCCTAGTAACTTTCATATGGATAATGTTTACTTAATTTTTTAGCATTATTATTAATGTATATCAATTATATATAATCATTGGTTTCACTGTGACATATATGCAAATATATGCATATATCTTGCTTTGATCATATACAACCTCCCTTTCACTCTTTTACTTTCCCTTTTCTCATCTTCCTTTCCTTTGCCCTAACAGTTCCTCTTCTACTTTCTGGATTTTTTGTTTTGTTCGTTTCTCCACAAGAGAGTAACATATAATATGATACTTATTTTCCTTAGTTGAGCATAAGTCTTTCAGTTCCATCCATTTGTCTGCAAATGACTCAAGTTCTTTATTTGTTTGACTAATACTTCAATTTTTATGCATGTGATATTTTTAAAATTCATTTTTCTGGTTAGTATCTATGCTGATTTCATATCTTGGCTCTTGTGCACAGTGCTGCAATAAGCATGGTTAGTTGTCTTTTTTGTATACTGATTTCATTTCCCTCAGATTAATACCTTCCAATGGTATAACTGGATTTCATACTTTTAACTTCTTTGTAATTTGAGAGTTAAAAAAACAACCTTAGCCGGGCGCTGGTGGCTCACGCCTGTAATCCTAGCTACTGAGGAGGCTGAGATCTGAGGATCACGGTTCAAAGCCAGCCCAGGCAAGGAAAATCCGTGAGACTCTTATCTCCAATAAACCACCAGAAAACCGGAAGTGGTGCTGTGGCTCAAGCGGTAGAGCGCTCGCCTTGAGCTGAAGAGCTGAGGGACAGCGCCCAGGCCCAGAGTTCAAGCCCCATGACTGACAAAAAAACCCCCAAACAAACAAAAAAACCCCAACCTTTTGCATTAGAACTTTCGTTAATATATATTCTTTGAGTATTGTTTAGTAGTTTTTCCTGAGGAAATAGACCTTTGCTTTTCTTTTTTTAAGGGAAAAAAATGCCTTTCTTTATTTCAAGTAGAACAATTATTTTTTTTTTATTGTGAAAATACTGTACAGAGGGGTTACAATTACATGGGCAAGATAATGAGTACTTTTCTTATCAAGCATTGTAGCCTCCTCCTTTGTTTCCCCTTCCCATCCCTTCCCATCCTCCCCCCGCACTGCCACCCAGGCCTCCCTGCTACCCTCCCCCCAAAGTTGTAAAGTTCATTTTTCGACATAACGACTTGACCTTTGCTTTTTTTTTGAAACATTTCATTCTCTTCTAGTTTATCTACTTAAGATCTTATGTGGTCTATGCTATTGCTCTTAGGCAGCAAACCTAGATAGTATGTCACTATAATCAACACTAAGCACTTAGGTTATACTAAATTTGTAAAAATGTACATATTTATTCAATAAGTAAATTTTAGGTTACTGTAACTTTTTCTATATAAGCATGTTTTTAAAAAAATAAATTAATAACTTATTTTTGTGCTAATACTAGGGCTTAAACTCTGAGTCTCATGTTCTTGCTTGGCTTATTTCATTTGTGGCTTGCACTCTACCACTTGAGCCACAGCTCCAGTTCCAGCTTTGCTTGTTAATTGGAGAAAAGAACATTTGTTTGTTAGCTTGGAACTATGATCCTCAGATCTAAGTTTCTTGAGAAGGTAGCAGAGCCACTGACAGCTAGCTTACTTTACAAACTAAAATAAATTTCGAGCCTTTTGAAAGAACAGTTTAAAAAACACCAGTGCCAGCCGAAAAACACACACATACATGGACATACATGCACATGTGTGACACAGACATACACACACACACACTCACACACACTATCCTTGGCTTACTCAGGGACTTCCCCTTCTATACCCTATCTTGCTGGAAGGCCTTCAGGAGAAGCCACTGTCCCTGTGATGACGCATTCTTCTGGCATCCCTCTTAAACTTTCCTGGGGCTGAGGCACTGCAGCTGTTTTCAGAAAAATGTTCATGGTGGTTTGTTTGGTTTCTTTTTTTCACCATAGATTTGCTTATGCATCATGAGCATTTTTTTCTACTGTTGGAAGTTTTTCAGTGTTGGGGTCCATGTTTTCAGAATTTTAAAGAGGTACTCAATTGAGGTCAGGAAAAGCTTCTGCTGAATCTTTAAATTTTCTTGCGACCCCCTTCCCCCTTCTTTGTTAATTTTCTTTTTTCTTGCCTCTTCTTCAGCTAATATTAACTAGGCAATCAGAATTTTTTAGGACCTTTGTAACTTTACGGGACCACTGCAGTAAATTTGGTCCGTTGTTACTAAAATGTGATGTAGTGAATGACTGTATATACATATGCCTGGAATTATATTTTTTAAGGATTTCCCACTTCCCGGCACTAGTGGCTCATACCTATAATCTTAGCAACTCAGGAAACTGAGATCTGAGGGTTGGGATATGAAGCCAGCCCAGAAGTTTATAAGACTCTTTTATGTAGTAGAGTCTGTAGAGGAGCTCTGGCTTAGGTGGTAGAATGACAGCTGAGAGCAAAAAAGCCAAGCAAGAGCTTTAAGCCCTAAGGTCAAGCTCCAGTACTAGCACCAAAAGAAAAAAAAAGTCTCCCTCTACTTTTTACTTCATGCTACTATTGACCTTTCTAATGAAAAGGAACACATTTTCCGTAGTTGCTTAAATTGTCCTTAAATAAAATCATTTTTTTAAAAATCTATTCATTTTGCAGCTAATGTGCTAGTGATTAAGACTGAGGAGTGAGAGGAAGGAATGAGATTTGAGTCTCAATAAAGCACTGTAATTTCTAAGTTCATTGAAATATGGCAGTTTTTCCACATTCTAAATAATATTTGCCAATTTAAATTTTTGTAGATAGTGTTTTGCAAATGCTAGATTCTCAAGAAATTAGTATCTTGAGAATTATAAGGCAATGTTACAATGAGAATTCAATTTGAAGTGAACTGGAAAAATCTTAAATCAAGAAACTACTGAATAAAGTACTATGATTTCTTTTAAGTGCTTAGAAGAAATGAAACGGGAAGCTAGGACTATTAAGATTGATAGAAGATTAACGGGTGCCAATATAATTGATGAACCTCTCCAGCAAGTAAGTTTCAGTGTGTGGTATTTGAATCGATATATTGTTTGCTAGGGTATACTGTATTTCTTTGGAGAATACTAAGATACATTTGGTTTAAATAATATGCTGAGGGCTGGGAAGGTGGCTCAGTGGTAGAGCGCTTGCCTTGCATGCTCGAGGCCCTGGGTTCGATTCCTCAGCACCACATAAGCAAAAAGAAAAAAGCCGGAAGTGGTGCTGTGGCTCAAGTGATAGAGTGCTAGCCTTGAGCTGAAGAGCTGAGGGACAGTGCCCAGGCCCAGAGTTCAAGCCCCACGACCGGACCAAAAAAAAAAAATAATATGCTGAAATTTTATGATAATGCTATACATGAATTTTGTACCTGAAGATTCTGTCTTATTTAGCATCTGTTATAAGGTAATTACTTACTATGAAAGTCTTTGGGTAAATCTACATTTAAAAATTGTTTGGCTGACAATTGAAATTTTTTTAAAATAATTTTCTTTCTTTTTCTTTCTCTCTCTCTCTTTTTTTTTTGGTCTGTTGTGGGGATTCAACTCAGGGCCTGGGCACTGTCTCTGAGCCTCTTTCTGCTCAAGACTAGCTGTCTACCACTTGAGCCATAGTACCATTTCCAGTTTTGGAGTGGTTAATTAGAGATAAGAGTCTCACGGGGACTTTTCTGTCAGGGCTGGCTTCAAATAGCAATCCTCAGATCTCAGCCTCGTGAGTAGTTAGGATTACAGGTATGAGCCACTGGTGGCCAGCTTAATTTTAGCATTATAAGCGTCAAACTATTAATTTTTGATGATAAATTAGCTCAATGGGTTTTAGAAACAATTTTAGAAACTTTTTTATGATTTTTTGAAAAAATACAAATTTAAATGGTTTGATTAAAATATGCTCAAAGTTAGAATTAGGTAAACCATTTCCCCTCCCATATTTTCTTCATCATTTTGATTATATGAGCATTATAAATATTTTGTACTTTAAAATCTTAACATTTATTTTAAAACAAATGCACATTTAATTTATCTTATTTGTAAAAAATGTAGGTACATTGATTTGTATTATTTGCTGCTTATGAACTAATAATCCTATTGGCTATATGTGAATTTCTATATTATTATTAGACATTGTTTTGAGAATTGGTGTCTATCTACATTGTTTTGGCTCTTATTTCTTCAAATTGATTTAGATTTATTATACCACTGAATTTTTTTCTCCTGCAAACTATCCTTACCTGAATTTGGGTGGAGTTTGTCTATAGATAATATTTTATAAAGTATTTGGGCAGTAAATAAATTGGAATATCAGAGTAATTTTAAAACTTTAAAACAGTTTTTAAATGATGGTAGTTTTATAATAATGGTAGGGATTTAAGATGTACATATTGACAGATAATCATCTTTATTTTTAACTTTCTGTTGTTACTTTAAGAATTCTAAAATGTTGAATTTGTTCCCTCAATATATTTTGTTATAGGTTATCCAGTTTTCCTTGAGGGATTATGTCCAGTATTGGTATTATACACTAAGTGATGATGAATCTTTTCTTCTTGAAATTAGACAGACTCTTCAAAATGCCCTTATTCAGTTTGCTACTAGGTAAGATCACTACATTGTTTTTATGCAGAAAAATTGATATGTTCTAATAGGGAAAAGAACTTTTAAATGACATAGGGCTATTAATTAAAAGGTAAGTAGAACAATACACTATTATAGTGGGTTAGTTTCCAGATTATTAAACATGGGGATTTTATAGAATACTTAAGCTCTGCTCTCTGTATGTTGTTTTGTTTTTGTTTTTGTTTGTATATGTGGTCTAAAAAGGTAATTTTCAAGTCCTTTATTCCACTTACTGATAAAACATTTTCCCCATTTGTGTATATCCTCCTATTTTCAGTACTATGAAAGAAAATTATGGTGGTATAACTACCTTTCATACTGCAATTTTAGAATAGTGTTGTGTTAACACTGGCACATACATGGTACAACTCCTCTCAGATGGAGGAGAGCATAGAGCCTAGGCAATGGAGAATATTCAGTTTATTCATTTATTTTATTTTAGAAGAGAACTGCATTTTCTTGTTAGCTATACTAGAATGCTGACTTTAAAAATGGGCTGTTGACTTATGGTTCAATATCCTAGTAAAATGGATTTGATTTCTAAAGGTAGACACTCACTCTGAATGCAATGTTGACTTTCATTTTTATTTTTGAGAACCTTTTAACTGAAATTGTTATATGAAAGGGAATGATCCTGAAGTTACTTTTGTTGTTGTTGTTGTTGGTCATAGGGCTTGAACTCTGGGCACTGCCCCTCAGCTATTCAGCTCAAGACTAGTACTCTACCACTTGAGCTACAGTGCCACTTCTGGTTTTCTGGTGGTTACTTGATTAGAGTCTCACGGACTGCCCGGCCTGGCTTTGAATCACATCCTCAGATCTCAGCCTCCTGAGTAGCTAGGATTACAGTCTTGAGCCTCTGGCACCTGGCCTGAATTTACTTTTGAAAGAAAGGATTTTATGCTTGGATGATTTTGTAGGTTTACTTTTTTCTAAGAGATTTTTAGTACCCTCTTCTTCCTCAGAATTCTTTGGTAGGTTGAATTGTTAAGCGGTTACATTCTCAAATTTGAATGTATAACTATACATCCAATCAACCCTTTATTTTCCTCATTTGGGCTCTTATGACATAGTATGAGAACCTTTGAGAATAGAGCTGTGTTAGGAATATTCCTGTGTTTTCTACTGGTAATTTCATCTTATATTGCGCTGTTATCAACTCCCCTATTTCCAAGCTACAAGGACCTTCCTTTAGCTTGGGAGTAGAGGTAGGGAGGAAGGATGGAATATATTTCTCAGTGTCAGAAACAATAATCTTTCCTATAGAGATGGATTTGTCCTCCTCTTCCTCATAATTAGTAGCAAGCAAAGTCACCAACCAGAATTACAGATACAAATTATTGTCAAAGAGATTTGAACTAGTAATTTGAAGACTTTAGTTTGTATAATGGCTCCATTACTTAGCTGTAGTACTGTTAACAGGTATTTTTTTTCACCCTCAAACAATAATGTTTTATTTTTTTAATTTAATTTAATTTTATTTGTGAACATACTGTACAGAGGGGTTACAATTGCATGGGCAGGATAATGTGTACATTTCTTACCAAGCATTGCAGCCTCCTCCTTTGTTTACCCTTCACATCACTTCCCAGCCTCCCCCCTCCCCCCCAGTCCCAATCCTTCTCCTTCCCCCCTCCCCCCCCACCCCCCGCACCGACATTGTTAACAGGTATTTTAAAATAAGTATAATAATACCTGTCCTGTTCTGTATTCCTCACAAGGTTTGTGTCAAGATTAAATTTTTGTACTATTCAATTAATGCATACTATTTTTATTACTAGCATATCACATAAGTTTATTTCAGATATAAGAGCATTTTTACATTTGATAAGCTTAAATTTTAACTTTATCAAGTAAAACTTACCTGGTATTTTGAGCCATTTCTGTCCAAGGTGTTGAGGGTACAGCAGTGAATATTCATAGGTTTCTGCTCTGAGGACTGAAGTGCAAATAGGAATATGAGAATGTTGTAGAGATTGGGCAGGCAGAGTTTTAATTTAAATTTAAGTTACTATATCATCCAAAACTCATAATTTTATAGATTAGGTATCAAAGGTCCAAAAAAGTTAAGTTAGTTTAGTGTTTTCCAATGAATTCTAGTTAAGAGTCTGATGTTCCTTCTCTGATTGTCTATCAGATACATTCAGATCTAGGTTATTCATCTGTTTCTTGCTTTTCAGTTTTCCCATTGAAATGATTTCCTTTGATCCACTCATCTCTTTTCCTTCTCTCACTTCATATCTATTTTAAAAAATATTCTGTACTATCAAATATTAAATGTAATATCAGAAGCCAGGTACTGGTGGCTCACACCTAAAATCCTAGCTATTTAGGAGACTGACATCTGAGGATTGAAATTTGAGGCCAGCTTGGCCAGCCAAAGCCCAGAAAGTCAACTCCAATTAATCATCAAAACAAAACAAAACTGGAAGTGTGTGGCTTCTCAGGTGGTACAGTGCTGAGAATACCTAGTGAGGGTGTGAGGCCCTGAGTTCAAGTCCCATTAGTGGTATCACAAAAAAGAAGGAGAGAAAGAAAAGTAGTACTTGTTTAATCACTGGAAACCCTTGTGCCTGCCATCTTTTTTTTTTTTTTTTGGCTGTGGGGCTTGAACTCAGGGCCCGGGTGCTATTTACTTCAGCTCTTCAGCTCAAGGCTATCTCACTCTACTACTTGAGCAACAGCTCTGGTTTTCTGGTGCTTTTATTGGAGATAAGAGTCTCAAGGACTTTCCTGCCCGGGCAGGCTTTGAATCTCCATCCTCAGATGTCAGTCTTCTGAGTAGCTAGGATTACAGGTGTGAGCCACTGGAGCCTCGTGCCTTCCATCTTCAGACTGATTTGAATTTATATTTTTGGTTGGCCATTGGCTTTAAAGTTTTGGCAAACTTAAAAAAAAACCACTGATGCTGATTTAGAGGTTCCTTTGAGGCTAAAAAATTATATCAAGTAAAGCCCTTAGCATACAGCAAGATTCATTTGTTATAGGTACCTTCTCTGTGAATGACTTTCCTAAGTTGGCTCTGTGTGTGTGTGTGTGTGTGTGTGTGTGTGCGCGCGCATGGGTGCATGGGTGCATGCGTGTGCACACAATCGCATGTGTACATGTGTGCACGTGTATGCCAGTACTGGGCTTAAACGCAGAGCCTGAGTGCCTTCCTTTTGCCTTTTCTGCTCAAGGCTAGCATTCTACCACTTGAGTCACAGTTCTACTTCTGGCTTATAAGTGGAGTGTCTGTTTTTTCCTGCACAGGCTTGCTTTGAACTCTAATCCTCAGATCACAGCTTCCTGAGTAGCTAGGATTACAAACATAAGCCACAGATGCCCAACTATAAGTTGGCTTTTTAAAAAAATATATTTTTTTAAAGACGCTGTACAGAGGGGTTATAGTTACATCAGTAATGAATACATTTCTTGTGGAGCATTGTTACCCCTTCCTTTGTTTTTCTCCTACTAACCCATCTCTCCCTTACCTCCCCCACTCCACCCCCACCCCCAAGTTGTAAAGTTCATTTCCAGCATAATATCTTGTATCATTGTTGCAATGGGTCATGCTGTGTCCTTGTTTCAGCATTTTGTCGTGTGTGTGTGTGTGTATGTGTGTGTGCACACACACAATGGAATTCTATACTTCCATCAGAAAGAATGACACTGACCCAGTTGTTAGGAAATGGAGAGACTTGGAAAAAATAATAGTAATGAAGTAAGCCAGACCCAAAGAAATAGAAGTCCCATGGTTTCCCATATTGGCTTTTTTGAATACTACAAAAATATACATCTTACCAAAAACTCCATGACTGTTTCCAATACCAATGTTCAGGAATTAGGTCTGTTTACAGTCACCAAAGTGCTATGTTTATCTTTGTTCTGTATTATCTGCTATACACTGTGGAGCATATAACAGCAAGAATATGTTAGCATATATCTAAACCAGGATCCCACAAATCTGAAAATATATACCAAATTAACTTTTATTTTTCTGTTGAGTCCTTCTGTAGATTGGATTTTTGTGTTGTTTTTGAGACAGATCTCATTATGTATCCTAGGCTGACTTTGAACTCTTGAATCTTCCTATCTTAGCCCCTTAAATTCTGGGATTACCAGTGTGTACTACCACACTTGGCTTATACTTGACTTTTCAAATGCCTCTGTGAGCCGTAACATATTTAGAACCAATTCATCAACTTTAAGAAACAGTTACAAAATCTTGGCATAAAACAGAGAAATTTGGGGGAAGAAATAGACATAACTTGAGTTTCCTAGATTTGAACTTTATTACTTATTAAGCTCTGTGACCTGCAATGGGCAAAACACAAATTCTTTGAGTTCAGAGTTACTAACCCATATCTACTAATCAGGTAGGACTAAGTGATTTCACATGTTAGAGTACTTTCTTATGACACATTTTAGAATAACTTTAATATTTGTTATTCCAAACTCAGTTTGGGGATGGAAACTCCATAGATACCCTTGAGTTTCTGTGGACCTTGAGTGTGAATTAAGCTATGGCTGTTTTAATAGGTGAATCCTCAATAATAGATACATTTTTATTCCCCCTTTTAAAGAAGATATATAAATCTGTAAACCAACCATACACTAGATGGCAGAAGATCCTTATTATAATTCTGTATTAAGTGACAGGTACACTACTATAAAAAGTTCTTTTTATTGTAAAAATACTGTACAGAGGGGTTACAATTACATGGGGAAGGTAATGAGTCTTATCAAGCATTGTTGCCTCCTCCTTTATTTCCCCTTCTCACTATAAAAGTTCTTTTTTTGTTTGTTTTTTGGGTCCGGTCATGGGGCCTGAACTCTGAGCCTGGGCACTGTCCCTCAGCTCTTCAGCTCAAGGCTAGCACTCTACCACTTCAGCCACAGCACCACTTCCGGCTTTTTTCTTTTTGCTTATGTGGTACTGAGGAATCGAACCCAGGGCCTCATGCATGCAAGGCAAGAGCTCTACCACTGAGCCACCT